CTCAGGGCCTTCACAAGCCAGGTGTTAAACTCAGCCATGGCTATAAGTTAACTTATGTGAACCTGTGATTAAATAATTTATATGAAAAACAAAGGTAATACTCTGTCTGGTGTCGCTCAGTGGGTTGGGCATTGGACCTGTGAACCAGGAGGTCACAGTTCCATTCCCGGTCAGGGCACAGGCCCGGGTTGCAGGCTCGATCCCCAGCGTGGGTCGTGCAGGAGGCAGCCGATCCATGGTTCTCTCTCATCACTGATATTTCTCTCTCTCCCTCTCCCTTCCTCTCTGAAATCAATAAAAATATATATTTTTTTAAAAAGGAGGCCGCAGGTGCCCGCTGTCTCAGCCCCCGTTCCCTGTCGCCCCTTAGCGACTGTGGTCAAGTCTTACCTGCTTGCCCCGAGCGTGCTGTGTCTCATTGGTCATCCCTAAATGAAACCCCGCGGCCATCTCCTTTCTGGGCGAGAAAACGGCTGGACGATAAGCCAGTCAGAACCTCAGTGATACTCAGAAATGGAACAGAGAAAAGACGACCTGCCTTAGCTCCTGGCTCCCAGACTCGGCCCTGCTCTTCTTCCAGACGCTGGCCACGTCCGTCTTCTCCACCCCGCTGAGCCCGTTCCTCGGGAGCGTCCTCTTCATCACGTCGTACGTGCGGCCGGTGAAGTTCTGGGAGAAGAACTACAAGTAAGACCCTGAGGCTGCTGCGGGCTCACTTCCTCCTCTCGGCACGGGCCCAGGCTCCTTGCTTTGCTCTGCTGGGGGGAGGGGGACACGGCGGGGAGCAGGTGTCTCGTGGGGGCCCCCAGTTCAGGGGCTCAGCCCAGGGGCTTTGGGCTCCTGACAGAACACAGCTTGCTGGAGCCGGCCCCGGTTCCCGGCCCAAGTTCACAGCCCAGAGTTCTCGGCTCTGGTTCCTGGTCCAGGTTCCCAGCTGTCACCATCGCCCTCCTGGGAAGGGTGAGGCCCCTGGCGATGGGCTTTGTTAAGGGCCGCAGCCCTCGATGAGAAAACAGCGCGTGTATTACCGGCTTCCTGTCTGGAGACATGGACAGTATTGGTGGATGACTGGATACTATTGCCTTTATGACTTTACAATCGGGCCACAGGGCCACGTGTTCACGAGTCAAACAGTGCAGTCCGATAGCAGGGCCCGCACCCTGTCCCCCCTGCGGTCCGGGAGGAGACAGCAAGCCCACGGGCTCTCTGAGCAGCAGCATGGACGCTCACGCCGTGGGGCAGTCGCTGAGCTAGTCGGCACCTGTGAGTGGGGGGCCCACATGCGCAAGGGAAGCGCTGAGAAGAGCTCAGACACCCGGGCCGTTCTCAGGGGTGTATGTGGGGGCGGGTGGGGGGCAGGGCCCTGGGCGCGCAGGCAGCTTAGCCATGACCGCTCAGATCTCAGCGCCTGCATCCCGCTGCCTCCTGGGGAGACAGCTTTCCCATTAGCGATGCGTTAGGTGTTGGAATTCCCTGCGGAGTTTGGTAAATGACTTCCGTTTAGCTCAGTCCCACTTTAAGAATTGTTGATTCCGCTGCTGAAAATTCCATTTGTCCTAGGTCTTAAGGTGAAATTAAAATTCCATCTAGGGACTCCCTGTGTCGGCCTGGGATCTGGGCCTTCAGTAGAGAGAGTTTGTTGTTTGCTTTGTTCCCTGCCCCCCGGGCTCTCTCATCTCCAAGGCTGATCTGAAGGTATTTCAAAGGAGACGTGACACGGGAATAGGACAGCGCGTTGGGGTTGGCGGCTCTCTGAGCAGCGGGGCTCGGGGACATGGGAAACTCAAGGCCTGGTGGCGTTTTAGGGGCATCGGTGGGGTGGCACCGTCTGCACAGGCAGTTCTTGGGGTGACTGTCT